TGTGTGTGTGTGTGTGTGTGTGTGTGTGTGTGCGAGCGTGGGTGTGTGCGTGGGTGCCCATGCTCCTTCTCACCCTGCGTCTGTATGAGATGAAGTATCTTTGCGGTGACCTGTCGAGCTGTTTCGACATCCTTCACCATGGCCTCTCCACTCATCCTCTCCAGTTGGCCCAGAAGCATCAGCACCCTGGAGTTACTGGGAACACTGGAAATACAGACATGGTTTTACCTTTAGCGTAAGCTGAGTTAGCAACACACACAGCATGATCCGTCATGATGCAGCATTCACAAACACAGAGTGGATGGTATAATACATGTATGCGCACGTGCTACAAAAGAACCATCATGACTTCCTGTTCTATGTCTATAAGAGCAGAATGGATCAGTTTTATTAGAGAGGTGAGTTAAAGTAGCTACCACTCGATAACACTGCTGAACAAACATAAAGCAGTACCTCATATCTGCAAATGCTCTCATATGTTCACAGCACAGACTGTAAATAAAGATGGACAATGCATCGCCACTTCGTCCCGCTATCAAGAACTGAAGCCAAAATATGCTGCATATGAACGCTGCCATCTTGCGCATGGGGGATGAAGTAGTGAGGCCCTGCAGATGCATGCACTTGACCAATTGTCAGTTAATGACATTTCACCCTATTTTAATCAATAATCAAAACCATACATTCAGGAAAATTTGCATTTGGACAAACAGTGCGATAACAACATGCGATAAAAAACCCTGACATGTACTTTGATGTTATAGATTGGTCCATGTCTCCTCCACTAACATGGAGGAGACAGGGTTTATGAGTACCAGGTAGCAATCAAGACTCTTTGGCTTCACTTTTCAGGCGCAATCCTGTTGTCCATTTTTATAAATAGTAAATTGTTAACAGTGAATCAAATATGTCTCAAACATGTCTTTCAACCCGTATCTATTCTGACAGATTAACTATAAATGCAGAGTGTCCAATGCGTCTGATGAACTTCCCGATGGACGGCCATG